AACATTGAATATACAAGGCGAAGAACGAAGATAAGAACAAGAGCTAAACGAAGACCAAGAACGAAGACCTTAGTCTCAGCATCGTTGAGTCGGTCTTTATTGTGATCAAGACCGACCCAATCTTTACACCTTGGCTCTTTAGGCTAAAATCCTTCATTGCATTTCTTACATCATAAAAATGTTTTTCAAAATTGTTTAAGTCATTAAAAACACTTGGTGTTCGCCCAAACCAAAAACCAAGCCATCCAGTGTTCGGGTTTCAGAAACCAGCGTTCGGCTTTCGGTTATCGGCTTTGGTTTTTGGCATCCGAACCAACCAAGTGGTTTTCAGCATTTTATGATCTGCTTTCACTCTTTGGCATGTTTAAACGGTTCTCCAACAAAAACACTTTGAAAACCATCTTTCGCTTTTGGTCGTTTGACAAAAACCACGCAGAACGGCGTAAACTTGGCTAGCCATGGTTTTTACTCAAATGACGTGGTTTTTAAAGTAACCCACTTGATTTCTTAGCGAAATACATCAAATAAGTGTTTCAAACACTTGGTTTTTATTTTGGAGAACTTTGGATTTTTCGGTCGGTTTTTGCATCGGTTGGCTAGGTCGTGGTTAAGGCAAAGACCATGGGTTTTTGGCTAACCACCCACCCAGCGATGGGAAGATCTTCCCATCGATGGGTAAGCAGTCCCTAAGCCAAACCAACTTCCAAAACCATGCCAAACAGCGATGGGAAGTTCTACCCATCGCTGTTAAAGCCTTGGTGCAAAATTAACACAAAGCAGAACGACCTTGCCCAGCGATGGGAAACCTATACCATCGATGGGAACCCAGCAATGGTAAGGTTAAACCATCGATGGGAAGGCATGACCGTTGGAAGTCATTTAAGGCTGATTCTTTCCTTATTTGAAAGTCAACCTCCCACCCAGCGATGGGAAGCATTTTCCCATCGATGGGTAGGTGACCGTTGGCTTCAAAATTGAAGGAAAATTGGCTTACCAGCGATGGGTAAGTTCCAAACATCGATGGGAAGGCGGATGAAATTTAAATTCTCAGAACCGTTGGAACCACAATTAATGGCCCTACAGCTAGTTTTTTCAATTTCAAACGGTTTTCACTTCTCTCCTATAAATATACATCATATTCTATCATTCCTAATCACAATTTTCATCCATATTTCAATCTCCTAATCAAATTTCACTCTCTTATCTTCAAAAACGCTGCTATGGCCGGAGGAAAATCCAAGAGCAAGGCCTCCAAGAAGAAGACCAACGTCGAAGCAACGTCCTCTGCGCCCCAGCCGTTTCCATACCTGGACGGCTCGTTTCTTGAGTTCGGGTCGGAGGAGGAACTCACCCGGTTTCTCTCGCACTTCGCCAAGCGTCCTATTTTCTCCGCCCAGGGTGCTGCCCGAGTTATACCCTCAACAAAAGGGGTACCACGACCTCGACAATCAACTCAAAGAGTCGGGTTTGTGGTCGTTCGTCTCCAGAAGCCGTCAGTCCTACAATCCCGCCTATGTCTAAGCATTCTACTCCAATCTCTGCCGGGACGGGGACACCATCCGCAGCAACATCAATCTCTACGACATAGAGATTGATTTGCCGACCTTTGCACGGATCGCAGGGCTGCCCATCCGAGGCGATGACATCGCAACATATGGTGGCGATGATTGGATCCTCAACAACGAGGCGGTGGTCATCCGAGAGCTTGGGATCACCAACCTCATCCGTCACAGCGGCGCACCAACAATCCACTCAGCCCCGCCGGAGAAGCGTCTTCTTCTCTACATCCTCACCCGAATTCTTCGCCCCCGGGACAGTAGCCACACTTCTCTCTTCAACGAGGACCTCAAGGCAGTTCATGCCATCACCCACGGCGCCTCGATAAATTGGGCCAAATACGTCATGATTCACATGGCGGATTGCGCCTCCATCACCACCGAGAGGAGTCTGCCATACGCCTTTCTCGTCATGGATCTCATTGTTGCCTCCGACATCCACATCGCCGGCCCGGATACGAAGATGACGAAGATTTGGATCATCCAAGACAGCACCTTCCGAAAGAAGTCCGGTGACAGAACCGGCGCAGAACCAAGTCGGCCACCAGTCCCCGATCCCGCCAAGGCCTCCTTACAGTCCATAGCCGATACCCTGAATCGGCTGACCATCGCCGTGGACGGCATGGGCCAATACTTGGAGCGGATGGATAGCACGCTGCAACGCCAACACCACGACATGAGGGCGTTCTTCCGCGGCATCAACTACGTCCCGCCACCCTTTGACAGCACCTTCCTCGGCCAAAACTATGAAGGCGAGGACGAGGAGGATAACTCCTATGCTCCGTCCTCCTCCCCCGACGAGGCCAACTTTGAGGACGCGGTCGACGGGGATCCCATGGACGTCGAGGACGACGAGGATGACGATGACAATGACAACGAGGACGAGGACGCCGATGCCTAGACTCTTCCTCTCTTTTCTTTCCTACTATGATTGCATCTTTTTTTTATCTCAATTCCGTTGTATTCTGCATTTCCCTTCGTTTAATGAATAAAAGTTCACTTTTAAAGTCTACTTTTAATTCTTTTTGTTAATGTCAAAAGGGGGAAGATATCAAGGTTATGTATAAATTGAGGGGGAATTTTTTATGGCATCTATTAAGGGGGAACATTTTTTTAAGTTTCAAAACAATCCTCATATGCATAACCTCATCTCGTTTGCAATTATCAAAAAGGGGGAAATTGTTGAAACACGGGCTTGTCACGTTTTTCGTACTAAAGCCGTGTTTGTTTTTATGGCAGGTTTTGATAATGCCAAACCGCCGTGATCAAGTCCAACATTGAATATACAAGGCGAAGAACGAAGATAAGAACAAGAGCTAAACGAAGACCAAGAACGAAGACCTTAGTCTCAGCATCGTTGAGTCGGTCTTTATTGTGATCAAGACCGACCCAATCTTTACACCTTGGCTCTTTAGGCTAAAATCCTTCATTGCATTTCTTACATCATAAAAATGTTTTTCAAAATTGTTTAAGTCATTAAAAAACTTGGTGTTCGCCCAAACCAAAAAACAAGCCATCTAGTGTTCGGGTTTCAGAAACCAGCGTTCGGCTTTTGGTTATCGGNGGGGAAATTGTTGAAACACGGGCTTGTCACGTTTTTCGTACTAAAGCCGTGTTTGTTTTTATGGCAGGTTTTGATAATGCCAAACCGCCGTGATCAAGTCCAACATTGAATATACAAGGCGAAGAACGAAGATAAGAACAAGAGCTAAACGAAGACCAAGAACGAAGACCTTAGTCTCAGCATCGTTGAGTCGGTCTTTATTGTGATCAAGACCGACCCAATCTTTACACCTTGGCTCTTTAGGCTAAAATCCTTCATTGCATTTCTTACATCATAAAAATGTTTTTCAAAATTGTTTAAGTCATTAAAAAACTTGGTGTTCGCCCAAACCAAAAAACAAGCCATCTAGTGTTCGGGTTTCAGAAACCAGCGTTCGGCTTTTGGTTATCGGCTTTGGTTTTTGGCATCCAAACCAACCAAGTGGTTTTCAGCATTTTATGATCTGCTTTCACTCTTTGGCATGTTTAAACGGTTCTCCAACAAAAACACTTTGAAAACCATCTTTCGCTTTTGGTCGTTTGACAAAAACCACGTAGAACGGCGTAAACTTGGCTAGCCATGGTTTTTACTCAAATGACGTGGTGTTTAAAGTAACTCACTTGATTTCTTAGCCAAATACATCAAATAAGTGTTTCAAACACTTGGTTTTTATTTTGGAGAATTTTGGATTTTTTGGTCGGTTTTTGCATCGGTTGGCTAGGTCGTGGTTAAGGCAAAGACCATGGGTTTTTGGCTAACCACCCACCCAGCGATGGGAAGATCTTCCCATCGATGGGTAAGCAGTCCCTAAGCCAAACCAACTTCCAGAACCATGCCAAACAGCGATGGGAAGTTCTACCCATCGCTGTTAAAGCCTTGGTGCAAAATTAACACAAGGCAGAACGACCTTGCCCAGGGATGGGAAACCTATACCATCGATGGGAACCCAGCGATGGTAAGGTTAAACCATCGATGGGAAGGCATGACCGTTGGAAGTCATTTAAGGCTGATTCTTTCCTTATTTGAAAGTCAACCTCCCACCCAGCGATGGGAAGCATTTACCCATCGATGGGTAGGTGACCGTTGGCTTCAAAACTGAAGGAAAATTGGCTTACCGGCGATGGGTAAGTTCCAAACATCGATGGGAAGCCAAAATCCTGCAGATCCAAAATTTATTCAATCCCATAAATCAAGCCAGTCACCCCTTTAATGCATTGGTCCGTTGGAGCCTATTTTGGCACTATAAAAAGGGGTGTTTGGGTCTGCTTTTCTTACCAATCCACTTCACAATATTCATATTATCATTGCATCCAAACAACATTATTTTCCATAGCTTTCTAGAGCCAATTTGTGTGAAGTTCGAGTTGTTCTTGAGCGTACTTAATTTACTCATCATCTACTCTTAAAGAGAGTCTTGTTCTTGAGTGTTTAGTGTTGGATACACGTTAAGGGAAGCCTGTTTCCCTTGGTTGTACGAAGGAAAGGTATTTTCCTTCGGGTAGAAGTCTTGGAGTGTGGTATCTCCGAGCAAGTGTTGTTGAGGCTCGTGGGACTCGAGTTCTCAGGTTGTAACGGTTTGTTAAGCACCCGTAAGCTTAACGGAAGTAGTGTAGCTCGAGAGAGTCTCTCGGGAGACTGGATTAGCCACACGTTGTGGTGAACCAGTATAAATCTTGGTGTGCTCCCTTTATGCTTTTTACGCTCTTTACTTTTCACTCACTTAATTTTTTTTTTCTGTGATTTCTACGATCAAACGCTATTCACCCCCCCCCTCTAGCGTTGGTCACTTATTCTAACAGTATTTAAAATATTTTGTGATAAATTTGAATGTGGATCAGAAACACATTGAATGTTACAAATTTTGAAAGATTAAAATGCATATTTAAAAGGTCCAAATAAAAGATGAGAGTCTTTAAAAAAAATAAATTATTGTCTATTAGCTCAAATGGTAGAGCAGTATGTGATACAGATGTGGGTTCGAATCCCGCATAGGCAAACTATTTTTCAAATATGTATTACAAATATTCTTTATACAATGCATTTTCCGTCTTTGTCATCACATACAATGTCACTCTGAAGTCATTATTCATTAATTCACAAATTAATATAATAAAATTAGAATAAAATCTAAAGAACAAATCAAAGTGCATATATCTTTAGTCATTGTGCATTCACCTTACACATTTAATTATGGATATCACAGTGCATCTCATCGAGATAAATTTGAAAAAATGAGATATTTATGGAATTGAATCAATTAGTTTTGAAAACATTGTGATATTGTGGTTTTACAATTAATCAATTTAATTGAAATGATAAGTCCACTTAATTGAAAACAATTAATACGGAGTAGTGGCCTAAAATTGTGGATGATGTGGCCATTTCTTTTCCTAACTTGCCCTTTTATATAACATTTATCAATAAAATAGCACGCATCATTAAATGCAGCCAATCTCAATTACTTTTTTTTGCTTCGATGAGAGGCATTAGATTTAATAGATCAATGCATATCCTCTATTCTTATTTCTTTCGCTAAGCATAATTCTTACAGAAACCAACCCATATATATATAGTGTAGCTCGAGAGAGTCTCTCGGGAGGCTGGACTAGCCACAAGTTGTGGTGAACCAAGGTAAAAACGGTGTGCCTCTTCATTGCTCTTTACTTTACGCTTTTAATTTTTTTCGTCATTTTCGTTTCAAACGCTATTCACCCCCTTAAAACGTTACGCTTTAATTTTTTATCTAACAATATATATATATATATATCTATATATATATATATACATATATATGTATATATACATATATATATATATATATTATTTAAAGGATTATTTTTATTGAAAGAGAAAGAAAGAAAAAGAGAAAGTACAAAGAAGGTGGGGGGGTTGGCCGGACCCCTACAAGGCCTAAATACTCACATCAACTAGGAAATAAAAGTGTCAAAACAACAAACAAAACTACAAGAATAACAAGGAAACTGGACAGAAGTGGGGTTCACCAGTCTTGCCACTTTTCCGTTGTACTTGTCCATATCCTTTGAGAGGTATTCCATATGCAATAATTGAGGTAATTACTTCCCATGATTGAATGTTGATGTGTGCAGTACATGGAGTGTAGAAAGAAAGTCACAAAATCTGCAGATTGAGTCTTGCTACTGCCCAGGGCCTCGAGAGACTTATACGCACATATGCTCTAAGATGCCCAGTAAAACCAGTAACCTGAGTTGTATGAAAGGCCTATATAAAATGCTTAGTTAACAAATGTAAAGGACATGCTCTTGAATTGGCAGAAGGTGCCACTAAATGCTAAACCTTGAATTCACTATCAGCCTCGGTGGGAAAGAAAATCATAAACAACTGTAAAAGAGAAATCAGATTAAGAATCTCAAAAAAGCATGCTTTTTTCATGAGTAAGCTTTGCTCTTAGATCCGAGAGCCTTTTACTTCTACGAGGACGAGAAAATTCATGTAGCCTATGGCAAAGTTTGTCGAATTTCCTTTGGTTTCTTTTCTTGATTGTTTCTTCGTTCTCATGCCACTTTTCCTCCTATTCAGAACCTCTATCCGTGATCCAATCCTCCTCTAATTCCTCTGATGGTATAAGAAGGGGATTACCCAAGGGTTGGATCTCATGATCGCAGTTGTAGTGTACATTCCAATGTGGGCTTTCTAGCTCATTGTCTGAATTGGAACAACCAAGGAAGTGGGGAGCCACTGTAGGGGTATCAAGGTGTGTGTGTGTGTGTGTGTGTCTATATATATATATATATATATATATATATATATATATATATATTGTTAGATAAAATATTAAAGCGTAACGTGTTAAGGGGGTGAATAGCGTTTGAAACGAAAATGACGCAGGAATAAAAAATTAAAAGCGTAAAGTAAAGAGCAAGGAAGAGGCACACCGTTTTTACCTTGGTTCACCACAACTTGTGGCTAGTCCAGCCTCCCGAGAGACTCTCTCGAGCTACACTATCAACGTTAAGCTTAACGGTGCTTAACAAACCCGTACAACTTGAGAGTTCAAGTCACACGAACCTCAATGAACCTTCGAAGGAAACAACCCTTCCTTCAAACTACTCAAGAGAAAAACTTTCTCTTATCAAGTGTCTAAGAACACTAAATCACTCAAGAACAATACTCTCTTTTAGAGTGGATAATGAGTAACTAAGAACGCTCAAGAACACAACACGAACTTCACAAAAATGCCTCTCGAAAAGCTATGAATAATGTATGAATGATATGCAATGAAAGAATAAGAGTTGTGAAGTAATGTGATGTATAAAGCATACCCAAACACCCCATTTTATAGTAGAAAAATAGGCTCCAACGGGTAGGAGTTGAATGGGGGTGATTGGCATAATTTGTGGGATTTGATTAAAATTGGATCTGCTGAAAATCACATAGATAGCGCTGTCCATGGCTTGGACATCGCTGTTCTAGGCTTAGTTTTTGAAAAATGGGAAGCAACGGTCAAGCCAACAGCGATGTCCAAAACCCCTACATCGCTGTTTTGGCTGTTGACTTCCAAACAAGGAAAGTTTTAGCCATAAATTCCTTCCAACGGTCAGGTGCCTACATCGATGTTCATTAATTGAACATCAGCTGTTCAGGCCTGACTTTGAAGGTTGAGGAATTGGCCTGACATCGCTATTGCTGGGTCAACAGCGCTGTCCAAAAACTTTCTACCAAAGCATTTCTTTTTGGCTTAGGTTGGACAGTGATGTAGGGAAGTCTACATCGCTGTTCTAGATGTTTCTGGAAACCCAACCTTGGCTCAACAAAGATGTCTAAAATCCAACATCGCAGTTGGAAAACTTAACGCCAAACCATGGTTTTTCAGGTGCCCATGCCAGACACTGTCGGTTACTCCAACATCGCTGTTGGGCTGGTTTAGCCAGACCTATGAAAACCAAGTAATGAAAACATTTTTTTAATGCATTTTGCTAAGAAATCAAGTAAAACATCTTGAAAACCACGTCATTTAGATAAAAACCACAGCTAGCCAAGTTTACGCTGTTTCGCATGGTTTTTACTAAACGACCAAAAACGAAAGGTGGTTTTTGAAGCGTTTTTGTTTGAGAACTATTTAAATATGCCCAAAAGTAAAAACCAATCATAAAATGTTGAAAACCACTTGGTTGGTTTGGACGCCAAAAACCAACGCCGTAACCGAATGCCGAATGCCAGTTTCTGAAAACCGAACGCCGGATGGCTTGGTTTTTTGGTTTGGGCGAACACCAAGTGTTTTTAGGCTTGTTTAAAACTTATGAAAAACATTTTTGAATATGCAAAAAAAGTATTTAAATGAAGTGAGATTAGAGAGCCAAGTTTCGGAAGTTTGTGCCGGTCTTGATCACATAAAGACCGACTCAAATAAATTCAAAGTCTTCGTTCTTGGTTCTTGGTTCTCGGTTCTTAATTCATCATGCCATGTTCCTTCGCCTTTGATTTGCTCAGTTTAGTGTTGTTGTCACGGCGGTTTGGCATTATCAAAACCTGTCATAAAACGAACACGGTTTAGTACGACGTAGGCGTAAACCCGTGTTCCAACAATTTCCCCCTTTTTGATAATGGAAAACAAGACGGGGATATGCATACTAAGGGATATTTGATTTTCAAAAATGTGTGAAAAAGGCCCCCCTTAATTTGTGCTTAAAAGCAAGTAGTCATGTTAAAACCAAACGATCCTGTTTTCAGAGACGTTCCCCCTTAGTATATGGATAGCCCTTTTCTTCCCCCTTTTGACATTAACAAAAAGATAAATTTTATTTATTAAATTAGGAAATAGCGGAGTACAACGGAAGTAATTAAAAAAAGACAATTGAAAGAAGATGAGATAGAAATTCTAGGTGCGGCCTAGTCTTTGTCTTTGGTTTCCTCCTCCTCGTCGTCGACGTCCATCTCATCACCGTCAACGGCGTCGTCGAACTCATCCTTGTCCGGGGAGCTTGACGGGGCATAGGATCCATCCTCTTCGTCCTTGTCACCGTACACTTGCCCAAGGAATGTACCTTGGTACGGTGGGGGGACGTAGTTGACGCGTTGGAAGTACGCGTTCATGGCTTACGTGCCCTTGGCGTTGAACAGCCTCGTCGAGCCATTTAAGGTACATGTCCATCCCGTCAACTTTGAAGTGCATCTGGTTTAGAGAGTCGGCGATGGAGGCGAGATTGGCCCGGGCCTCGGGTTCGGCTTGGCCATCAGCAGGACGGCGGCGTGCGGTAGTGGCAGGCGCAGCGTTGTCCGACCGCTTGGTGAAGGTTTGGGCGCTGATCATCCAAAGCTTCGTGGCCTTGGTGAGCGGGCCAACAGTGGTGGTTACCTTGAACCGTTCAAGGATGTCCATCACCAAGAATGGGTATGGGAGGATGTGATCGTGGTCGGTAGACGCGGCGATCGTCATGTAGATCATGACAAACTTCGCCCAATTGATCGGCGCCGAGTGCATGATCGCGTGGAGGAGCTTGAGATCCTCGCCGGACATTATCGTGTGCCCGTGCTTCCGGGGCTTGATGATCCCGGACACGATGTAGAGGAGGAGACGGCTCTCGGGGGATGCGAAGTGAATGGTGGGGCGCGTAGGATGGCAGATGAGTTTGGTGATGTTGAATATAAGTGAGCCCTAGAGGCCAACTTATGATTCCATATCTATATTATATCAAGAACAATAGAACCTAAAGATTGTTTAAGTAGTCTCGTGTGATTTAAACATAGCTTTAGTCCATAGAGTAGGCACTCTAATAACATAGATGAGAACTACGACGTTCTAATTATGAGGCTGTTACAAAGTTAGAGGCTACGTCTAAAATATCCTTAGTCGAATATTATGACAATACGGACATCATAATATATCAAGACTAATACGTATGAGATGAGATAGCTGCATCTCATAGGCTATAGATAAAGTGTTATCTGAATCTATACGTAGGCAACCATATTGGATATGTTGCTGGATTGACCTGCTATGAGAATAATATATGGGTTTGAGTTAAAGTGTTAATATTATTCTCATGCGACCATTAGTATAACTATCCTTTGACTTGAAGTCATTACATTCTTTGGTAAGTTGAGTTGTATACTTTGAGACATGATTTATGCCATCTGAAACATTGGTGGATGTACAGTTATGTTTTGGGTATGCAATGAAATTTAAACGAAGATGTGAATGACGTAGATAGAATTGTTCCCTTCTTTGATGAAGTATAATATCTTAGGGCCCACTGATTGATGTGACTTGGGAAGTGCATGGCCATGCCCAAATAAATATGTTATTTGAATCCCAAAAGTCAATTGAAGAATCAGTAAACCATCGATTTAACTTTAACAAGGTGACAGACCCCATACCTTGTGTTAAATCAAGATATTAGTGATAAAGGGATAAGGGTTATACAAATAGGATGTGTCGTTGAAGGAATTGTTCCAAGAACTTTAATCTATAATTTGGGGGTGATAATGTGTTGCTAGATACCGCTTATCACTTGTAGTATTTAATAGATACTATGGCCAATTTTATAGATGCCTAGAATAGGGTCACACACATAGAACATATGATAGTGTAAAATATTTAAGTGGAGTAAAGTTGACCTTTATTTATATATTGTGTATATTATATTGTGTGACAATATGATTAGATACACAAACACATATATAAATAAATATTTATATTTGGACATTTTTAATTATGTGATAATTAAGTTTGTCAAATATATTTAATAATAATAAAGTATATATATATATATATATATATATATATATATATATATTCGGATGTATATATGAATAATAAATTGTTTATTATTTTAGTATTATTATTAAGGCATGAAATATATATTTATATATATTTAATATTTGGACATTTTAATTATATGATAATTAAGTTTGTCAAATATTATTTAAGGAACAAAATATAACATTATTATATGTATATATGTTTTTTTAATTGAGAGGATTATTTTATTAGAAATAACAATACAAAAGGAGGGGGTGGCCCACACCCCAACAAGTTGGCCAAGGAACAAAGCCAAAAGAGGACATACGAAGGAAAGGAGACAAAACACCAAAAGGAAAATACATAAAACCACAAGTATATGGACTGGAAAGTAGGTGTTCCCCGTCCCAGCTTGTAATTGGCTTCATCCATTTGGAGTAGATTCTATGGATATTTTCAAAACACAACTGCAGTTTTCCATGTTGGAGTGAATTCTGTGAATAGAGTCCATCATTCGAAAGTGTTGGTGATCTTGACGCCATCCATGAATACCAAGAGATTGCCCTTAAAGAAAATGCTAGGTCGCAATTGATGCTGTACCAAAGAGCTGCTTCCAAATTCCATCTGTGGGTTCCCATTCCAGAAAACCAAGGGTAGAGTCCTAGAATCTGAAGTTAAGTAGCTGGAGCCAAAAACATGAAGCCTAAAATTGCCTTAACAATTGCATTCTTGCTTCTCAAAACTTTGAAGTAATTTCAAAAGAAGCACTCAAGCAAACAAACCAAGTAACTCCAAAAAGTTCTGATCATCAATTGAGTAAAATAAGAAAGAATCATAGTAATTGTATCAATCTACTCAAGCCAACTTAATACAGGTCTTTATTTCGGGCTTTCAAGTCTGAGAGGCGTTTCCTCCTTCTTGGGAGTGATGTATCCTGGATTTGCAAGCAAATTTGGTTGAATTTCTTATTATTTCTCTTTATGTTTGCCTCTTTTTTGGCATGCCAATCTTCTTCTTCAGAACCTCTGTCTTTCTCCCATTCCTCTTCGGATGAAGGAGGTTTGTGAGATTTGCCAGAATGTTTGATCTCAGGCCCGGAGTTATAGCACACATTGTAACCCCAATGTGAATAATCCAGGTCATTGTCTGAATTTGAGCATCCTAAGAGTGTGATAGGAACAGAATTTCTAGGGGTGAAGTCTTGAACAGAGGCTGAGAGTGTGTTGTCATGAGGTTGGGGCAAGATTGGGGGAGGGGGAGAAGATTCATGTGCTGATAACAAGCTTGAAAACTGAAAAGTTGTACTCTCTAAAGGCTTATGGGAATCAACACAGGGTAATTCACAAGAGAGAAGAGTGGCAGAGATGGAAAGAGGTGGTTGGTATGCTGGTTTAGAAACCGAAGCACACACCACAGCCATATCCAAAAAAGGAGGGGGAGGGGGAACGAATGTTTGAAGAAAATTAAAGTTTTCTTAAAATAAGAGGTGAAGGAGGCAAAGCCATATCCTTGAGAGCCTTCAGGGATGAAAACCCAGATTTTCCCATCCTGATGAATTTCACACAATTTGATGTGGTTCCTGAAACTTGAAGATTGAAAGTGTAACTGTAACCGTCTGTTCCTTTCTCTACGACCGGTTGAACGCAGCTTCCTGATAAGTCCATTTCATTCTTATCATTTACATCATAATCTAAACGTTATTGCACGTAAATAGTATTTAATCATCTTATAAAATGTGATTTCAATGAATAAAACTCTCATTTTCGTTCTAAGAGTCATAAAATGGGATTCCACATGAAATTATCATAGATTATCCATTTTATGTTCAAATACTTGAGAAAAAGGGAATAAATCATCAAGGGATTAAGGTTCGGGCTTGAACGAGCTTCCGGGAGGTCAAAAACAGTGTTCGGGGCCAAAACGGAGCGAAATTGGGCCAAAATCACGAAACAGCCGCGAAGCCCAACGGACCAAGGCCTCCAGGCGTCCAACTTGGACGCTTGGCCATGTTGGACGCTTGGGAGTTGGACGCTTTGGCTGGATTGCAGCCCAAGAATGACACGTGGCAAAATCTGGTTGGCTGGGACAGCTCAGGCACCCAGATCTGGACGCTTGGACTTGGACGCTTTGACTTGGACGCCTTGGATTCGTTCCTATAAATACAGCATGATTCTTCTCATTTTTACCATCCATTCTCAACCCAATTTCGGGTTCCCATCTCTCAATTGCTTAAAATACTTTGTATATTAGTTTTAGTAGTAGTTTTAAAGTATTTTCGGAGTTTTGACTCCAGATTCTGTTCCGCTTTTACGGAGATTGTAAGTTTTCTTTATTTAATAAAATGCTATTTTAATTTATGTTTGCATAGTATGAGTTAGGGTCCGGATCTCTGGGTCCGGACTAGTTTGGGTGTTTATTTTTGATGTTAAATTAATGTTGGAATGGTTAATATATTGTTCTTGCCTTATTTAGTTAATTATTCTCGAAAGATTTAATTAGCTATTTATTGAGAAAATATTGTATGCCAAAAGGCTATAATATTCCAGTACAATGGATTAAGTACGAATCAAGAAATGGATGAGTAGTAATAGAAATATTCTTATTCCAATTGTTAATTTAATATGATAAAACAGATCCAAATGATGTCCAGACCCTAGGTCCCGATCTGCGCTTATACTATGTAAAACTTAATTCATTATTTTTACTCTGCTCCTTTTATAATCGTTCCGAGAAGACTTTCATAAACCAATCCTAACCTTCGCCTAGTTGGAGTAATTAAATTAATTCCCTTCGTCCACTCCTCGAGTGATACGACACTCGGAGAGAAAACTAACCCTTTATTGGGAAGGTTTACTACCCGAAAAACTACAACTGTCAAATGGCGCCATTGCCGGGGAGTGGCACGGAATTAGTTTAATTTCTTCTGATTAGCTTGGGTGAAGATTGGTTAGAACGATCTTCTCAATTCTTTTTCACCAACCACCCGTAATAATTATGGATAACTCCGGTGGTTATTACGGTCCGCCTTCTTTCTACCAATCACCCAACCGCCCTCCGTTTCAAACCCATCCACCTTATCACCCACATCAGTACCCATTTGATAATACTTACCAAGTCAACAATAGATCTGACTACTATCCCTACCATGAGGAACCACTATATGATACCCCGTCTAGAAACTTTGGATATTCGCCATACCAAGATCCTGATGGGGTTGATTATTATGAACCTCATGGTGATCAAGATGACTATGACCAATCTGGGCCTATGTATGACAATCAACCTGATCCACTCGTCGAAGAAATAATAAAATTAGAACAGAAAATCTTCTATTTCGACGAACTTTTATTCGTTGAAGGCTCTTGGTACGAACCACCTTACTCCCGTGACTACACTTTGTTTGCTGAAGAGCAAATTGAAGCAAACAAGGTGGCAATTCGAGAAAGAGCAAAACTTCTTGAATCAGTCCGGAAGGAAAAGGAGTTCGAGAGGAGATTATGCGAAGGATCAGAAATGATGCAGAAAATGCTGGACGACTTTCAAAGAGAGAGACTAGAAGCTGAGTCTAAAGACGATAAATTAGTCAATGATCTCTGTATGGCTGTTGAACTTAAACGCTCCCTCCAATCTCAAGATCAAATGAGGGAGATTAATGTTCAAAAAGAGGCTCTAGAACCTAAGACCAACCCTGAACCATCCAACCATCAGGTGCCAGTTCTAGAAGATTCACCAAGTTCTACACCATCATAGAAACCCGAGAGCATAACAACTCTTGCTAGGGCTACTGTGGTGATGTTACCTGAATACCCTTCTAGCCAAGTCCTAACCAGCATAGTCGTACATGAGGTGGAACCAACTGAGGGACCTGACTCAGAACCACCTACGCTCATTCAAGAAAAGGAGGAGGAAGTTTTGCCTACGGCAATAAACGACCATCTCCTTAATTGTGTTGAAGACACACCTCCAGAGAAACCTGTTCTGGAGGAAGTAGAGCCCATTACCTGCCCCCAAGATACCAATGTCCAAGTGTCCGAGCAGGAATCTATAGACGAGGAATTATTTTGCATGGAAAAGCCAACTCCGCTTATAGAAACCTGTGTACACAACACTTCATCTAAAGATTCAGACCAGACCTTCTTTGACTCCCTACTTGACGGGTGTGACTATGTCTGCCCGAACGATGGTTGGAGCCAAAAGAGTTGGGATGAACTTCTAGTAAGTGACACTGAAGACTCATCCATGGGGGAAAGCACGGTCGTAATCATCAAACCACAAATGGATGGTCAGCCTGTTGAAGATAAGGAAAAAATCAATCTCGCTATGAAGGTCAATGATGTGGATCTACTGAGGAGACTTCCGCCACCACCCACCTATCTAGAGTCTCCTCCTTTTATCCTGTTGCCGCCAAGCCGCAGGGACGAGTCAAGGATCCTGGACCTTGACCGAGCAACAAATCAAACAAGGTGGCACCAGAAGAGAGTCAGAAGGGCCAAAGTTTATGACTCTCGGATTGGGAAGTCGCGGAAAAAGTGGGTGAGCGTCGAGCTACGGACGTTAAAGAAGCGCTTAACGGGAGGCAACCCGTCATTCAAATAACTAAAATAATTAAATAAATTCAATAGTTTTATTTGTTAGTTTTTGAGGTTATGCTTGCCGCACCAGTTTTGGGGGCAAGAGTTATTTTGTTTGTTGTCTTTGCTTTTGAAGATGAGAGAATTGTTGGGCATACCTTACAGTGGGAGCGAAGAAGATGTCTCACCTGGGGAAAACACAAGGTTTTTGCAACCTTTGGGGCTTCTTGATCCAACAGTCCTAGTTGAAGTTAGCTACTGAGAGAATATTGACTTCCTTAGTAAAGTCTCTTTTTCTCTACTATGTTGAACATGATTTGGATACTTGATTTTTATTTTGGAATTTCACAACATGACTCTTAAAACCATTTTGAGAATATTTTATGCATTATTTCATATTTTCGTGTTATGGTTATCTATTATGTCAATCTTCATCGTTGAATCTTATAAGTATTGAGATAACTTAGTAATTGCATGTGAGCATTTCAACCATTAACTCCAATTCAAAAATACTTTTAGCCACAAGGGCGTGGTTCTGCTTAAGTGTGAGGAGGTAAGAGTTCCTGGTTGAAATGATCTTTTTATGAATAGTTTTGTCTATATATTGTTAGGAAAAGATTTTATAAAATAGTCATCAATTTTATTTGTTTGATTAATTACTCTTTAGTTATCACCTGTGGAAATTGGAAATTTTTAAAATTTTTGTCAAACTTTTATTTTTACTCTACCCTTTTGGGAATGTTTTCTAAAATGATTTGGGATAAATTCAAAATTTATTTAAAGTTTTTTTAGATCAATTAATTTTTAAGTGCTTTATTGAAAATCTTTTTGCTGATGCTCTTATGAGTATTAGTTGTTTCTCAAGGAGAGTTATTTTCAAAGTATAAGAGGTGACGTTTCAAAGTATACTTTGGTGAGACCGAGATTCTTGTTTTAGCCAAAAAGCAATTGGTTCTATGTCAATTGATGAGGCGTGGTGAGTATGCCGAAAAGCACGTGGTTCTATATTGCGTGATGAGGCCTTTTGAGTGTTAGAGTCAAAAAGCATGCGGTTCTATGTCGTGTGATGAGACTTTCCAGAGTGAATATCCAAAGAAAATTAAACCCTTACACTTTGAAAAATACTTTTGCAAGAACATGTTTTCCAATTTAGCCATTAAAAAATTATTTGATCTTTAAGGTACTCTTACAAATGTAGTTATCCCAAAGAAAGTTTAGAAAATTTTGGTTGTTTAGGTTGGTGTAAAAATATTGGTTTGACAAAATTCTTTTACATTTCTAACAATATGGGTGAGAATCTAAAAGTTCATTATTCTTAACAAAGAGGTTGATGACTATCTTATTTCTTCTTTTCTTCATAATATGTAGCTTAAACTTTGCCTCTACAATTATTAATTTGCCTTTATACTTGTAATTATTCAATTTGTTGCTTGAGGGCAAGCAACGTTTAAGTGTGAGGAATTTGATAAGTCCATTTCGTTCTTATCATTTACATCATAATCTAAACGTTATTGCACGTAAATAGTATTTAATCATCTTATAAAATGTGATTTCAATGAATAAAACTCTCATTTTCGTTCTAAGAGTCATAAAATGGGATTCCACATGAGATTATCATAAATCATCCATTTTATGTTCAAATACTTGAGAAAAAGGGAATAAATCATCAAGGGATCAAGGTTCAGGCTTGAACGAGCTTCTGGGAGGTCAAAAACAGTGTTCGGGGCCAAAACGGAGTGAAATTGGGCCAAAATCACGAAACAACCGCGAAGCCCAACGGACCAAGGCCTCCAGGCGTCCAACTTGGACGCTTGGCCATGTTGGATGCTTGGGAGTTGGACGCTTTGGCTGGATTGCAGCCCAAGAATGACACGTGGCAAAATCTGGTTGGCTGGGACAGCTCAGGCGTCCAGATCTGGACGCTTTGACTTGGACGCCTTGGATTCGTTCCTATAAATACAGCACGATTGTTCTCATTTTTACCATACATTCTCAACCCAATTTCGGGTTCCCCTCTCTCAATTGCTTAAAATACTTTGTATATTAGTTTTAGTAGTAGTTTTAAAGTATTTTCGGAGTTTTGACTCCAGATTCTGTTCCGCTTTTACGGAATTGAATCAAGTGAAAAGGACCTCCTTGAAGCAGAAACTCTTTTTGTGTCAGACCCTTCCCCAGATAATCTTTCCTCACTTAATTTAATGAAAGCAAAGCATAATAGATGCGTGAAGAACATAGACTCATTCTGGAGACAAAAAGCAAACATCAATTGGATCAAACAGGGAGAGGCCAACACCAGTTTCTTTCATAACTTTGTAAAAGGAAAACGAAAGAAACTCCTTATACATCACATTATGAAGGAAGAAGACAACATCCTAAATACTCAGAAGGAGATTATGGAAGATGGACTTTCCTTTTTCAAACAGGCATTCTGTGAGGAGTCAATTATTCATGATTCTGACCTCCTCCACTCCATCCCTACTGTCATTACAGATGATGATAACATCCTGTTGACAAGGCTTCCAAATGAAGAAGAGGTAAAGGAGGCAATCTTCAGCCTTAATCCCAACAGTTGTGCAGGATGGGATGGCTTCAATGGCCTTTTCTTTCAGACTTGCTGGGAAATAGTTAAAGAGGATGTTGTTTCAAGCTGTCAGGAATATTTCCTGGGAATCCCTCCCCCCAAGTCTATGTGCAAAACCATGATCTCTTTGATACCAAAGGTGGATAACGCAGCTTCTTGGAAAAACTTCAGACCAATCTCCTTATCTACTTTTCCTAGCAAGATTATTACAAAAATCCTTGCAAATAGACTCTCAACTCTCTTGCCAAGAATTATATCAAGGGAGCAAGGC